GTCTTTACTACTGGTTTTAAACTATTTGATTACTGTGTCCCTTGGTGTAGTTTTCTTCATATTTTTGTGTTTGCTTGATATTTATTTAACTTAATTTGTGGATTTATTGTTTTCATCAAATTTGGCAAGTCTTCAGCCATTATATCTTTATTTTCTGTCCTCTCCCTCCTTTGGGGACTCCAGTTACATACATATTTGGTCATTTCAAGTTGTCCCACAGCTCACTGATGTGCTATTCAATTTTTTCTAGTTTTTTTTTTTTCATTCAGTATCTCATTTGGTATAATTTTAATTGCTATCCAGTGTATTTTAGGATTTTAATCCTATCCAGTGTATTTTTCACCTCAGGTGTTATCTCTAGAAGTCTAGAAGTTCAATTTAGGTCTTTTTATAGCTTCCATCTTTTCTTAACAACCGTATGCTTTCCACTACCATCTTGAGTATATGGAACATAGTAACAATAACTATTTGAATATTCTTATTAAATCTATTTAATTTATTTTAGTATCTCCACTTATTAGATGTCTGTCAATTCTGGGTCTATTTCTATTGAGTTTTCTCTTCACTATTGAATTTTCCTGGTTCTCTGCATGTCGGTAAATTCTGATTGAATGCTACATATTGCATACTTTATTAATGGGTGCTGGATATTTTGTATTTCCTTAAATATCCTTGAGCTTTGTTCTGGGATACAGTTAAGCTACTTGAAACAATTTGATCCTTCAAACCAAGTGTCTGCAAACTAGGCCCACAGGCCAAATCTGGCCCACTGCCTATTTCTATAAATAAAATTTTATTGGAATACATTCTGATACATGTAAATACATTTGCTTACAAATTGTTTATGGCTGTTTTAATAGTAGAAGGGCAGAAGTGAGTAGTTACAACAGAGACCACATGGCCCACATATCCTAAACTATTTTCCATCTGGCCCTTTACAAAACAGTTTTATGACCTGTCTTGAACGGCTTACTTTTAAGATTTTTTAGGCAGGATCAGATTAGACTAGTCTAGGGCTAATTTTGCCTCATCGCGGAAGCATTAGTCTTCTGAGTACTACATCTAATCCCACTTATATACAAGGTTTTTCCACTATGAATGGTGGGAGGGTAGGAAGGGGCACACTCTTCCCTGGCCTACATGAGCTACTTTTTTCTTCCCAGTGGCTCTTTCCTCATCCATGGGTAGTTCTCTTACGCATATGCACTAATCAGCACTCGGCCAAAGCCTACAGGAGAGCCCTCTGAAGATCTCTGGAGCTCACTCTCTGTGTAACCAACTCTCTCTTCTCTGGTACTCTGTCCTTCAAATTCTAGCTGCCTCAGCCTCCCAGAATTCCTAACTCTATCATCTCAACCTAGGATAAGCTGTGTTTGGGTTCTGCTTTCCTGCATTGCAGCCTGGGGCAAATCATTTGTTTTTTCCTTCTCTCAGGGTTCACTGTCTTGTGCCACTTGTCCAATGTCAGAATGCCTTTGTTTCATATATTTTATGGGCTTTTTGTGTGTGTCTGTTTGTTAGGCTATTTTAGGCGACAGAATAACTCCAGTTCCTGTTATTACAAGATGGCTGGAAGCAGAAGTCCTCTCAGTACGAAGTTCCAATTCTTTATATTTGCCTTAGTGCTTTATAGTTACAATAAACTGTCCCAGCTCAAGCCATTTACCCAATTCTATGGTCAGTCAGCAACTAGAGAAGGGTGTAATAAGCAAAGTCAGTAACTAGTATAGCATCCCTTTACCCCAATCCCACTTTCCTATCTTTGTGGGATGTATATTGTGGGATATATATCACGGACTACATATTACAGTAAAACTTGGTTTTTAAGATTTATCTTTTCATTGAACCAGTATTTATTGAGTGGTTGTTTTTCCTGGCATTGTTCTAGGTGCTGGGGATTCACCACTGTGAACAAAACACGCAAAAATTCCTACCCTTGTGAAACATACCTATGAATTAAGCTTATCTTTGAATTAATTGTTTCTAGTAGCTTAACTGTATCCCATAACAAAGCTCAAGTAAGATATGTATCAGATGGTGATTAAAAAAATAAAAGTAATGAAGAGACAGGAAGTGCTAAGATATTTGGCAGGGAAAACAGTGTAAATTTAAAACAGGCTGGTCAGGGAAAAAGGCATGGGTGAGAAGATGACAATTTAGTGAAGATCTGAAGGAGGTAAGGATGTAAGTCATGTGGCTATTTCTGGGTACAATAACTGCAAAACTGACGCAGAAACAAGAAAACTGGTATGGCTAAAGCAGTCAGTGAAGGGAAGCGGTAAAAGATTAGGCCAAAGGTAATGGGACCCATAGCACACAGGAGCTGATAAGCCTCTGTAAGTGAGACGGGGAGGGACTGGAGACACTGGAGCAGGAAAGTAACATGATCAGACTTAACAGTTTTAAATCATTTATAAGGCTGTTGTGTGGAGAGTGAATTCTAGGGGAGAAAGTATGAAACCAAGGAGACCAGTTAGAAAGCTACTGTTATAAAGAGATGATGAAGGTGTGTACCAGTGCAGTAGCAGAAGAGGTGGGGAGAAGTGGCCACCTTCTGGATTTAGGCGGGGCTGACAGTATCTCCTGACAGCTGGTTGTGTAGAGGGTGAGACAGACGAAATGAGGATGCTGCAAAAGCACGTGGCCTGTGCAATCGGAAGAAAAGTCTTCCTCATCTAGGTAAATGGCTACTTAGCATGAAGGAAGTTTGGTTGGGAATAGAGAAGAACTCAGGAGCTCAGGTGTAGACACATTAGGTTTGATATGCCTATCAGACATCCAGCAATTGGATATTTGAATCTGAGTTTAGAGAAGAAGTCCACACTGGAGACAATTTGGTAGCTGCCAGCATATATGTATTTAAAGCCATGAAAATGAATGGGAACAGCTAGGGAGTGAGAATCAACAGAGGACAAGTACAGAGACTGTGCCCTGGGACAGCCAATGTTTGAGGTCAGGACAATGAGGAAGTATCTGCAAGAAAGATAAGATTAGTCACATGCAATAGGAAAGCAGTTGGGAAAGTGTGGAGACTCAGAAGACAAGGGAAGAACATACTTCACAGAGCAGCATGATCAATGGGGTTAGTGCTTCTGACAGGTCAAGGAAGATAAGGACTGAGAATTAATGGTTGGGTTTGCAATATGAGGGTCGTTGGTGACACTTGAGAACTTTGGTGGAATGCCCAGAAAGAACTGAGAAATTGTGTAAAAGGAAGCAGGGACATTAAATGGAGCAGTAATTAGAGAGGAATGGTAGTTAAATTTTTTTTTTTAAGTAAAGCAAGGAGGCGGGAATGCATGATGCAGGAGAGAGAAAGGACAACTACTGTAGTTATATCCTTGAGCAGGTGAGAGGAGATGGGACTAAGAATATAAGGGTAAGCTTTAAATTGACCATGGCTGAGTATCTTTCTCCAACTATGTTCAGCTGCCCTGCTGCGTGCATGGAATCAGCAGACCAAAGCACCTGGATATAGATGGCTAAGTACAACGAAGCAAAGGGGAGGGACAGAGAAGATGAGTGGATGTGTGATTTTAATGAGAGGGTAGGCTATTGACATTGAATAAGGGAGGATGTGAGATATGAAGGAAGTGTGCTGCAGTGTAAAAGTTGTATGTCTAGATGGAGTTAAAAATGTGTTGGAGTGGGAAGACAGATGGAGAATGGGGCGCTGGGACTCAAGATCATGGAGTGAGAGCAGTTCTTAATGACTAGGCCCACAGTATGACTATGGGTGGAAGTTGCTAATGTAGTTTGGAAGACAAGGTCATTGAAGGAGAGGAAATCAAGAAACTGAGAAGCCAGAATGTTAGGACTCTACAAAGCCTGAAAATCACCAAGAATTAGGACACATTAGTCTTACAGGGAAGCACGGATCCTGAATCTTCAAGGAATAATGAACAATGATGTATTTTAATTTCCAGATTTTAAATTTTTATGTTGTCTTATAACTATATTTATAATAATGACTTAGGCCTTACTCCAAGTCAGCTGTTTTAAGCTAATCCAACTGTCCTTTTATGGTCCAACTTGCATTCTGTTCAAATGTCCTTCTTTTCTTTCGCTATCATTCTGAAAAATGTACAATTAATTCTGTCATTTAAATCAGTTTTCTAAATTCTAAAGCAAAATTTCTCAAACTTTTCCATGGAACACCAGTTCGATGGTATATTTGGTGAGGTAGGGGTTGTATGGTGAAATATGTTTGAGAAACACCACAGACCAAAGGCCATTGATAATCACTTGTTGGAAATAAACAAGTCTAATTTGATTTTAACTCAGCTTTTTCCACAAATTTAAATGACCATAGGCTCATTTTCTGTATAATATCAGTTAACATCCTAAGGAATGAGTATACCAAGGTAGGTACTATTGGGAAGGCTGTATTAGAGGTGTGTGTCTTCTTGGTGACTTCAAAAGAGGTGAAACAGAACCTGCTAGAACAAGATTCAAGATACAGACTTAGAATCTGTCAGAGAATGCAAATCTTTGTTAAGTTACTTTGTAACAATATTCTTCTTGCCTGCTAACATGATTAAAAACAAAACCATCTCAGAAAATAAATTCTCAAAGATGTATTTAAAATTGGTTTAGTATATTTCAATTCTCCTCCATAAAAATGACACTTCATAGACTATTTAAAAACAAAGATACATAAATATGTTTTGGAGGAAGACTAATCCCCAACAGGATGTCTGCATCTATATACAACCTCAGTTCTGCCCTTTGCTCCCACTAACCATAAATCTGATAAGAAGTCACTATAAGGAAACAAATGCCCCAGGCCAAGACATGTACTTCAAAAATCACTATCAAAATAACTACCATCTAAGAGGACCAGAAAAAGTGAGACAGACTTTAAAATAATGTAAGAACCAAATAACAAAAAAGTTTTGCTCCAATTTTTGCTCTAGGAGCTCTAAAAAACCATTATCAAGTTATTAGAGAAGAGAAGGTATTGGGGGAAGAGGATAAAAAAAATTGAAATACCAGCTTACAAAAGCCAATCACGATGTTTATGAATCAGGCAGGAACAATCTGAAAACAAAAATAAAAATTACTAGTTTTATATAATATTTGCATATGCATTTGTTAATTATAATTTTGAGATCATTGTATGTTCATACGCAGTTTTAAAAGAGCCTTCACTCAGTTTCCCACAATAGTAACATTTCACAAAACAACAGTACAATATTACAACCGGCATGTTTATACTAATACCATCTACTAGTCTATTGCAATTTCCCATTTAATTGTATTAGTGTGTGTGTGTTTTATACAGTTTGAGCACATGTGTAGGCTCACATATCTACCACTAGTCAAAATATCGAACAGTTCCATCACAAGGATCCATCATGTTGCCCTTTGACAAACACATACCACCTCCTTTGCCACAATCCCTTTCTGCCCCTGACCCACTGCACATCTATTTTTAACACTAAAATAATAACAGCCATTTACAAAAAGTATTTCACTCCTTGTCCCTAGCTGAATGTTGTCTACTACTACTACCACTACTACCACTACTACTACTACTACTACTACTACTACTACTACTACTACTTCCTAGTTATATGTCAAATCTTGAATGAATACTTTTAGTTTTCTGCATTAAAGTTTTAGTTTAAGGAATAAATTCTCCAGAGAGAAGTCTTTCTCATTGTTAGCATGGCATGGATCACTCATTTCAAAAATCAAAACGCAAAAAGTAAGGGAGCCAGAGGTGTTGTCTGCACTCACAGATTCCATATTTTCAATATATTACTAACGAGAAACTCTGAGTGCTTACTGTGGGCCAAGCTACATATTATATATGTATGTATGTGTATGTATGTGTGTGTGTATATACATATATTCCATATACCAAGCCTTTGATGTATGCACATTGACCCTGTTTGGCCCAGGAGAAAACTGAGGCACCAAGAGGTTTACAAGTTGCCTAAAGTCAAATAACTAGCAAGTGGCAAATCCTGGAACCTGGGACCAGACTCTGGGCACCCAGACTCTACCATCCCTCAAGGAAACCATGATAAAGTCAAGATGTTTTGGTGTAACCATTCATTGCTATGACAAATAAATCACCCGATTATTGGTAAGCTTCACTTTAACATAACGGAATTCAACAACGAAAATGTCCAAAACAATGATGTGTAAAATGGAAGAGGTATTTTATTCAAATACAAAATGATAGGAAATTGCCAAAAACAAAGGTTGGGACATGCAGAAAAGATTTTATATTATGGCAACAAACTGTTCACCAGCCCTGAACAGATAGTCTTAACATTCGTTGGGGACTGTCAGGCAGCAGTTTATACATAGCCAAGATTACTCTTGAAAAAGACATATTCAATTGAGCAGAGATGATGAGAGAACTGAAATTTTTGAACAGATAAAAGCTTCAAAATTAGGCTCTTTGGCCAATAGAGACATCTAAAACCCCAAAGATAATGTTCAGGTTATAGTAATTTAACAGACACCTATTGTGACAAACTTTCTGTAGGTTTATTTGCTTAATAATATAGCATTATTACTGAGGACTAGTAGATATTCTCTTCTGTGAAACTACACAGCACGTTTATGCATAGCTGTGACAGTTTTACCTATCATTCAACAGTACTTAAAAGGTGCCTACTCAATAAGCCATTGATATGCTGCACCAAATACCCTGGTGAGGCTTTCTTTACAGTGCTAATTTTACAGACATCTCCTGGATGATCTAAGTTCAAGAGGCAGCCGGGGAGGAGAATGCATTATTAGCATGGTTTGGTGTGCATATAACTGAGTTATACATAGGAACTAGGGAAATGGAGCTCTGAAGTTCATCTTCCACATGAAGATAACATGCTATTAGTCTCGACTTTCTGGGAGGGAAGTTAATTCATTACTTCATTAACACTGAAATATATTAAAAACATTTTCAGTTAAAAGGGTAGCTAAAAAGAAAAAAACCTTTAAATTAAAATGCTTACACGTTATGAGATTTCTAGAAATCACTGTTAATTGGTTTTAACTAGTTTTATAATCTCCCCCAGTTACTTAAGGCTTTTATTTATTAATTTTTTGAGACAGGGTCTCTGTCACGCAGACTGAAGTGTGGTGACGTGATCAAGGCTCACTGCAACCTTGATCTCCGGGGCTTAATTGATCCTCACACCTCAGCCTCCCAAGTAGCTTGGACTATAGGCATGTGATACCACACCCGGCTAACGTTTTTTTTGGTAGAGACAAGGTCTCACTATATTGCCCAGGCCAGTCTTGAACTCCTGGGCCCAAGTGATCCTCCCACCTTGACCTCCCAAAGTAAAAACTCACATTTTCTTAAAGGTGGGTAAGCAAAGGATCAGGGTGAAGGAAACCCTCTCCTCCTTTTCAGACACCAACCTGTTTGCCCTTCTTCACCAAGAAGCCAGCTGTCTGTGGCTGGGCCAGCGTGACAGACTCAGGGGACATTGGATACAGCCCTCTTTTCAATGTCTCCTAAAGTTAAGACTTCTATAAGCATTATTATTTCAAGAAAACACTGTGTCCTGTTCTTCTTGAGTAAATACAAGTCAGATGGTAACCTTAATTTTCTCTGAAAACTCTATGTCTAAAACATGGGAAAAAATAGATATCAAGGTTCTAAGAATGAAGAAAAATCAGAATTCCTCCACGAGCTACATTTATCTCCAATTCTTTTCCCAGGGAGACACGTACACAAAGCACCCTTTAAGTTGAACACGACTTGTTTCTCATATCTTTCTAAAAGTATGTTGTTTATTTAGAATAAGCTTTCTATCTTGTCTGCTAAGCTTTTCCCATACATATAAGATAAAAACTGAGAAACACTTTTCCATTCCCAGTGATGTTTGCCCAGTAAGTCTTGGTAAATAATAATGATTATGCCTAACTAACATCACTCTTCTCTGCTGCTAAACACAGTCACCTGATGGTGTGATGTGCATGGTTCCTCAGTGGTTCATCATTCTAGAACATCCTACAAGATTAACTAAAATTTTCAAGTTTGTCTATCACCTCAGCTATAACATTTATGTTTATGTCACTGTTTTTAAGTTGTTAAATTCTTACAGGATACAGACTATATCTGTATAACTTAGTTTACAAAGAATAGCCATGCACGAACATCCCATAAATGCCCTTGGCAGTGATGACCACAATCACAGCAGAGTTAATGGCAGGTTTGCTCCACTTCATCAGAGGTTCTGAAGGAGGAAACCAAGATCTTCCCTGAAAGGCAAGACCTGGCATCAGGGGGTACTGTGGGCACTTTCCTTTGAATTGCATTTATCTACCAGGAAGATGATATCCTTTATCGTCTTACATGAAAGCATTTGAAAATTCTAAAAACTGACCATGCCTGTCTTGGTCAGTTCAGGCTGCAATAACAAAGTGCCATAGACTGGATGGCTGACAAAACATTTATTTCTCACAGTTCTGGAGGGGAGAAGTCTGAGATCATGGTGCCAGCATGGGCAGGTTCTGGTGATGAACCTCCTCCAACTGTCTACTGCTGACTCTCCTATCTTCACAAGGTGGGAAGAAAAGCCAGCTAGTTCTCTGCCCTCTTCTTATAAAGGCACTAATCCCATTTCTGAGGGCTCCACCTTTATGGCCTAATTTCATCCCTGAGTCCCCACCTTCAAATACCATTTCATTAGAATTAGGGTTTCAACTCATGGCTTCTGAGGGGACACACACATTCAGTTCATTGCAATGCCCTTACATAGACATGAAGACCAGGTCTGGTATGTTTGAAATAACTCATGATCTGCAAAATCTCACACCAAAAATAACAGAGGGGGAAAAATTCAGAGTAGACCACTCAAAACCTATCACAGCACTAATCAAATAATAATGCATACCTCAGGTATAACTTGGAAAGCCCAGATAGTCAGCTCAGTGTGACTGAGGGTACCCCCAGGGGACATTAAAATGCACAGAAACAATAGAGTGGGAAGGCTACTACAGTAGAAATGCACGGAGGATTCAGAGATGAGTTCTCATCGCTGGAGAGTGTTATATGACAGTGAATTGTGTCAATGTGACTGTGCCACAGGTGCCAGGTTAAACATTATTTCCGGCTGTGTCCATGCAGGTATTTCTGGATGAAATCAGCACTTGTGTTGGTGGAGCTGGGAGCATACCACCCTCCCCAATATGGGCTGGCATCATCTAATGCATTGAGGGCCCAAATTGAACAAAAAGGTGGAAGAGGAGGAAGGCACCCCCTTTTCTTCCTGCCTGCTTGAGCTGGGACATCAGTCTCCTCCTGTCCTTGGACTGGGATTTACACCCCTGGCTCCTCAGCTTCACAGGCATTCAGACTCGGACCAGAATCACACCACCAGCTTTCCCGAGTCTCCAGCTTGCAGACAGTTGACTGTGGGATTTCTCAGCCTCCATAATCATCAGGGTTAGTTCTTTGTAATCCATCTCTCTTTCTGTCTCCATATATGTATCCATGGGTAAACATACATGCACTCTAACTCTGCCAACTCAGATTCACTTGGGTTCTAGAGACTGCCCAACAATTATGCAACATTTCCCTAACCTTTGGTCATTTCATTTCACACCTTCTCTCCTATCTTCCAATTGCCTTCCCCACTCCTAATATTTACATATAACATCTCTCTGTTAACATCCCTACTTCATGCTTCTGTGAGAAAACAAAAGCTGTTGCATAGGGCATCTCTGCTTTCTATCTCTAAACTCACTTCCCTATATCCACAGGAGGATGCACCCTCCCTAGAACCAGAGGCCAATTCCACCTCTCTATTCAAAATTTCTTCCTCATTATCTTCTCCCTTTCTACTAAAGATACTTGTCATCGACACACACTATGCTCTGATAGTCCCAATGTTTTATTGTTTTATTTTTTGAGACGGAGTCTCACTCTGTTGCCAGGCTGGAGTGCAGTGGCGTGATCTCAACTCACTGCAACCTCCACCTACCGGGTTCAAGCGATTCTCTTGCCTCAGCTTCCCAAGTTGGTGGGACTACAGGTGTGTGCCATCACGCCCAGCTAATTTTTGTATTTT